AAACAATGAATTAAACGTTTTATCCAACTATTATGTGGTAAATTAAGAAATTTTCATTCAGCATTTTGTTTCATAAAAACTTTAGGGAACTCAATATATTTTACTATTATCAAATATTAGAAAGGGAGTTTTAATTATTTTGGATTAAGTTTATCTTAATCTGTTTATACGGTTTTAAATTTAGAAAAAGATTGATTTAACTTTAATGGAAATTATGCTTTATCGTAATTTATGATAAGTACTAAAATTGGTAAAAATTTAAGTAAAATCTAGCGAAAATAATAACCTGTCGGCAGGTAGAGACTATAGTTACTTAATTTTGTAATAAACCCCTTTGAAAAATTCCAACTATAATCTAAAGAAGAATTTGAAATGTATTAAAAATCAATCGATCGAAATCTGACTTATGGATCTCAATTTTTAAACAACCCCAAAATGAAAGTATTATATTTGTTTGGTAAACTTTTATTACATTAAAAATTTTCCATATAAAATAAAAAAGAACTTGAATTCGTTTTTTTTTCTTCTTCTTTTACGTAATTTTAAGATGCAAGCGCAGTTAAGTTAAAGTTCCGTGCAATTGGTCTTCGTTTTAAGTTACTTCAATTTCTAATTTAAATTTACTTCAATTTCTCGAATTATTTTAAGCATAAGTATAATTTTTTTATAATTATTTTTTGCAATTATAGAAAAAAGAAGAAAAAAATTTTAAATATTTTTCTTTTTGGCTATTAAAAATGTAAAATTTTTTACTGTACTTCTGATTTAATCATGTGTACTTTTGTAATCTTCTGTATAACTTCCTACGATGACAAAAAAAAGAAGAAAAAAAGAAAAAGAAAACAACTCGGAAGTAAAATCTGTCAAGGCTATGCAATAGGACTATCCAGATATATTGATTATTTTAACCCTTCTGCGTCAATCAACGATCTTTCTTATCAAAAGCTATCCTGTTAATGAAAGAGAAATACTTGACTCCTTCAAAATCTTTTTTTAAACTTTGATATGAAAAACATATACCAATATTTTATTTTCTTAATTTTGATTAATTTCCAGATGTTCGAATTATATGACCTTGACATAGCTGATTACTTACAAAGAAAATATCGGAAGCTTCAAAGGACTTTATATTTTTGATGAAATGGTTTGAACCTTAACAAACTTTGTTTAGGGGCTATTCAAAAATTACATAATACCAATAGGGGTTTGATGTTAGCTTTTTTTTTCTGACATGGGTATTGGAGGGTAAAATGTGCGCTTACATCAAATTTAAAAATCTTCAAATGGAAACAAAATCAGTTCATTAAAAAAATAATCGAAAGTTTTTCACCCATTTTCCTTTCAATAGGCTAATAAAATAATAATAAAAATAACTTAGATCTCTAATTTAACTTTCCTTTTTTTTCTAGTACAGCGAAAATCACAATAGGCTTAGAAATATATATATCAGTTTAACCCAATGAACAATAATAATAACAATGATGCTAATATTTGGTCGATTAAAAATATTTAGTTGAATAATTGTGCAGAAATTATATATTAAAATATTAGCATTGAAAAATTATTTATAGTGTGCAATCACTGTTAATTCAATCACATGATCAGAATAACCAATTCAGAAATTCGTAAGTAACTGTAATTGTATTAGAACAAGAACACCGTTTCCAAAAGCATTTTAAAATTGCAACCTATTCAAATCAAAAGATTATAATCACTGATTCGAATTAATTTCAAAATGGAACTATGAATTTAATTCGAATCTAAGGATTTGAGTACCTAATTTGGATAATAATAAGAAGATATATTTTAGAATCAGCGAATTTAAATAAAATAAAAACAATGGAATCACTGTCAAAATGTATCAGACGATTTTATATCAATCAACTGGTTCAAATCAGAATATGTGTAAAATAATGATTTGAATAACTGAATCGACGGATCATATCAATTAAGTATTAAACCATAATATTCGATACAATTAAAAAACAAATTATATTTTTTTCNTTTCAAAATTAAAAATAATTAAATAAATAACAACAATTTTGCAAAAACATTAAGGAATATAAGAATATTATTCAATGAAATTTCAGGTAACTTTGAATTTTCGATTTCCTAGAAATGTACTTTTAAATCGTTATTTTTACTTGTACTTTTTACTCGTTACTTTTTAAAATAAGAACTTTTTACTTTTTACTCGTTACTATTTTTAAAAAAACTTGTACTTTTACTCGTTACTTTTTAAAAGTAACGTTGCCATATATGGATTTGAGTACCTAATTTGGATAATAATAAGAAGATATATTTTAGACTCAGCGAATTTAAATAAAATAAAAACAATGGAATCACTGTCAAAATGTATCAGACGATTTTATATCAATCAACTGGTTCAAATCAGAATATGTGTAAAATAATGATTTGAATAACTGAATCGACGGATCATATCAATTAAGTATTAAACCATAATATTCGATACAATTAAATAACAAATTATATTTTTTTCAGATCAAATGCATTAAACGGATATTTTTGCATAATATTGGAGTCTTCTAAGTTCTCTTGTTGGTTTTATTGTTATTAGAAACTTACATGGAAACAATTTTTAAATTATTAAGTTCTGTTAAAAACCTTTTTTAATTGTATTTCTATTAAAAAATTATTAACTTTCTATCTTTGCCATTTTTTCTTTTTTGGGGAAATCGTCATTTAGATCCATCATTAGAGATTAGTTAGTAGCATAAGTGGACCTGTTTAAGTAATTAATTTATTTATTCATTTATTATTTTTGATTTTGTGACTGTAATTTTTCATTAATAGTTTCACTATTAAAAAAATTGAAAATAATTGTAATACTCGTAGATAATAAAATTCTCTTTTTTATGAAGAAAAGGAAATAAAAATAATAACAATATGCTTCTTTGTTGTTAGTTTAAAAGTAATCATATATATAATAGAAAGAACATAATAGAATTCATGTGTAAAAAATAACGTCATAATGTTGCATTTTCTCCCATTCTATTAAATATTCTATTTATATATTGCATTAAACCTCAAGCGGGGGGTACTCTAGCAAATATATTTAACCATCAGGAGGTCTGCAAAAAAAAAAAAAAAAATTATACTTTGTTCGATTAAAAATCTACTATTTTTTTATTCCTCAAAGGTCATTGAGCTTTTTTACTTTATTTTCTGCTCGTGGCTTGTTGCGATAGATAAATTATTTTGATGAAATGAAGAATAATGACAGACTTAGACTATTCTCTGGAAAGTAACTATTTCTTCGATTCAAAAATTCGAAGTATTGCTAAGCTTCTTTAGTTTCAAACTCTTAAAATTTTCATAGTAAGATAGTAATTCAGAAGTTTAATAAGTTTATTCAGTTTATTAATCTGAAAAACTTAAATAAACTTTTTTTTAAAAAAAATTAAGAGGCCTAGCATTAATTGTCTTTAAAAATACTCTTAAAGATGGAACATCTCTTACTTGAAATAATGAAGATATTTATTATAAATACAATTGAAATTCAAAAAAAAAACATGCTGTTAATTTTTATCAAAGTCAATTATAATTCCTAATCAAAAGTATTTGCGTCTTCGTAATCCCCGTAAAAAAACTGTTATAACATTCGTCTTTTCATTATTCACTTTATTAAACTGGAGTGAATACATGCGAGATACATCATCCTAGATAAATTGTAGTTTTATTTTGTTCGAAATTTAGGAAAGGGTTTTTAAAGCAAACGATTCTACGAAAATTCATAAATGCTATCGTTTTCTTTAACAAAAATTTATATTCTTTATTTAAAATTATTTTTCGTTATTTAGAACTATTCTTTCATCAGTTAGAATTATTTATTTCTTTATTTAAAATTATTTCATAAAAATTAAGAATTTAAGAAAAAATAATCAAAATTTAAAATTGTATCTCTTCGAGTTGTTATTTCCGAGTTGATTCCTTAGAGAAAGTGTTTTTATTTGCTATACAAGGAAGATAGATATTTAGTCAGGCATGCGAACTGTCTGACCCATAATCAGTCACACAGAACTGAAGACTGCGTAATCGAGAACTTTTTTGAACTTTATTATTCTCTAGAGACAATGTAATCTTCTTTACTGTAAAAGAAAAGATGTTTAACGGTGATTACATAACTACTATTTAAATATATTTCGTTTATTATTATTATCTACGTAATATTTATTTTAAATTATTAAAAAGGTTAAAAAAAATAAAATTTTTATTTCTTTATTTTTAGAATAATTTTTTTTAATCGGATTTTTTTATTTATTTGCTTTTATTTATTTACTTTTGGAATTAAATTTAATGGTTACGATGCCGTGAGGTATCTGATAGGTTATTAAAATGGTGATTTAATTAACTTCAGGCCATGGATCAATATCTATTACTATGGAAAGTTAATCACCATAAAGTTATTACCAATAAATTACCATACATGTAAAGTGCTACACAAAGCAATTCTTTTAAGAGCCTTTTTGATAATAAATATTAATGATGTTTAGTACAGTTGCTAGATCTATTGTTTGATAAGTATATGCCGAACGTTTTTAAGTCATTTTTTTACTACCGAGACAGTTATGTTTTGTGCGTATACTTACCTTCTTCAGTTACTTAATTTATTATAAGATTAATAAAAAAAAATTATACCGCTACAATTTGAGCTTAGTAAAACTTCAAATAAAATTAATAAAGTTATTAAAATAAAAGAATAAATATGTAAGAGAACCAGTGGTAGTAAAATATGTTTAAATTAAGCGCTTGCATATTCTTCAGAATATATAAATTTTAATTTTTAACAATAAAGGGGGAATAATGCAAAAACCAATATAAATTGAATAAATATGAATTTTTATTTAAAACTCTAATGGATAAGGAAGGCAAATTTATGAATACTTGAAAACGAAACTGAAGAAAACGAAACCCGATTTGAAGGATCACGAATATTCTCGCCTAATTGGCGACACTTTTAGGTGCATTTGGCGATTTTGAGTGCATTCTGACTGAAGCATTTTCGGAGCAATTCACGATCGTTGTTTGGGTTGATTTGTATTCGGAAATTGTGTGTAAGAAGTTTAGCTGTTTAACGTCCTACTATTGATTTATCGAGGAATAAGATGTTACAAAATTTTTCACGATGCTAATAAAGGTAAAATAATTCCATATATTCCTTAAAAACTTTCTTTCAATCTGTTTTAATCACTGTCAACGTGTTAAATGGACGTGACGTTAGGCTTAATCTTGCAAAGGATTTTGCGAATATGTAATTGTATTGCCCTAGATTACTAAGCCAGTGTTTTCGATTTAATATCTAATTGGGAAAATTATTTATTTTTTGTTGCGTAAGTGGATATTGCAACATATATTCGTTGTGATCTAAATGTTGTGTTTTGGAGATCCATCAAAATTTTGTAAACCTGTAGCATTTTCTATTACCGTCTTGCGTATCATTTTATCCACTATTTCCCTTTTTATCATTGATGTTTAACGCAGTATCATGCAAGTTATAAATTATATTATTATGAATATAGCATAACTGTTACGCTATCGTATGTAATAACTGCCTTACGATTACTACGAGCCAGTTCGGAATAAAATGTTTGTATTGTGTTTGTTTACAAATCAGTCATTCAGTATTCTGCGGATAAATTTTTAATCTACTTTTGTCGGAAAGAAATATTTATTCTATATCTAATTAAACTTGCGAATGGTAAACATTAAATAATATAAACATTTTTCATCATAAATGGATTTATAACAACTATTACATCCAATTCCAAATTGAAATACAGTGAATATTTTCAGTTGAATTTTTTTTATTTCAATATCGTCTGTTACTCTATTTGAAAGGAACATGCATTTGATTACCAAAAATTATTAGAAAAACGTTTTTACTTAAAAGTTCTATCCTTAATTTAATAGATTATTTAAAGAATTGTTTGTTGCTGTTAATTATAAATTTTTTTGTCAGTAAATTATTAAATGATATGCTAAAATTTGTTATACTAATTCATTTTACATTTATTGTGCAATATATGCTGTATATGCAGGTGATAAAAGATAAATTTAATCTTTTATCACCTGGTGCATGTAGTACATTGATTTTTGGACCATGAGTGTCACATAGGCCCAATTTTTGAGAGGGTAAAATTAATTACAGAGTCGCAATAATTTTCTATATTTCTCACATCAGGAACAAGGTTTATATGTGCTAAAACTCTAAAAGATTATTTTTCTCTTTTTTGTTTTTTCTTTAATGAATTTAAATTGATAATTTATGAAAATTTTGTGTTTTTGTTGGAAATATTCCGGGAACATTCAGAAATATTTAATTGAGATGGACATATAACCACTATTCTTCCCCGCCAACGACGCTCATGATTTAGGCCTATATTTGTATCCATTTAATTTATTTCTGAGATATATGTAATTTGCAAAGCATGTTATATTTTTTCTAATCGTTAAGACATTACATTAATTTAAATCGTCTAAAAAAGGACAGTTATGAAATGTATTTGCTTGGAGGGGAACAAAGAATGTTTGCTTGTTGTGCCAGTTCTTAAGATAACATATCAAGTATAAAAATACTAGTTTAATATTAAAATATTTTTGTTTCTTGAAGTTAGGTATTTTTTTTGATAAACATTTGGAAGAAGGAAGTGTCTAAAATCTTGTTAATGTGTTGTGATTTGAGCACTCTATTATTTTATAACTCCAATTTTATTAATGAGCCCCATAAAATTTTTAATAAAATTAACTTATTTACTGTGATTTCAATTTTTTTAACCATAAATATTTTTATTGACTTTAAAATTTATGATTAAATACAGTAATTATTTTTGTGCGCTTGCAGATTCAGCTCTTGTTTTTAGCTTTTGCACTTAAAAGGGTATAAGTTACTTCGGTTCCAAATTTGTTGACAATTCCAATTTTTTAAATTTTTGGATCAATAATTGGATTATGTTCGAAAAAGTATTATTAAATTTGCCTTCCTCTTCCTTGTATAAACTCAGAACAAAAAAAATGATACACTGCTTGCCTTTTGATCTTCAGCTTAGAAATTAATTTCTCATCTGCATTTTTTAGGGGGAGGGGATATTTAATGTACATTTCAGCTGTGCAGAGTTTTTTTTAATTTCAGAAATGAGTTCAATATTTTTTTTTTTGTCTGACTCTTATCACTTCAATGTGTTCCTTCAAAATAAAAATAACTTATTCTATAGTTAAATGTGTAAAAGTCTTACCTTCAAGACTGGAATTGCAATAGAATATGTATTGCACAATATACCAGCATACTGTTCCCCCAGTTAACTTCTTTCAAAATTCACCCCAACTGCAATATTTAAAATTATCTTTTATTGGACCATCTAGATTTAACTTTACCTGCTGATTTAGACGTTATTCCATTAACCATGGTGTATATAATGTTATTCCATGGAAATAGAAATCTATGTCGGAATCTGTTTATTAGTTGTCAAGGTCTGGTTAAAGTAAATAATCTTTTAAAATGGTAGGAAGAGGTTACACTGTAGATTTCATCTAATAAAATTTCCACTGTTTAGCCTTTTTGGGCTTACGCCCAAAAAGGTTATACAGCGGAAATTTTATTAGATGTATCTTCCTTCTCATATTTGTTGTATCATCTGCGTCCATTGAGTGACGTCCTTTATTCGTGCTTGTCACTATTTTTTTCATTCGAAAAAAAAAACTTGAAGGAACGAAAAAACAAGATCTAGTTAATGTTTGCTAACTTAGTTCAAAGATTATAAATGGTCACAGATGTTGCTTAATATGATTCAATTCGAGAAACCACTGAGCTCTAGAAAAAATGTTTTTTATTCATTTTTATAAGTTATAAATTTAGTTAAGAAATGTAAAATTTTTTTGTGCATTAACAGAGACTTGATCTTTTAGTGGCACTCTCAGTACCTTTTTGCGTGCATTTATATCTCAAGGTATGCTGAAAAATAGGCATCTTTATGGAATTTCAGTATTTTTAATTTGGGTAACATTTCTGTGTAACGGTTCTTGGGTGAAGTTTATTGTGTGTCCCTTCTTCAGAAGTGTGGTCATACATATGTGATTACTAAATATGCATCATCTACGCAAATGCTGTTTGCAGAAAGTTTGTCGCAGTTGTGGAATATTTATTTTTATTATTTATTTATAAATTGATCAAAATACTCCTATTTTACAAGCAGGTTTGAGTTAAGTCAATAATTGGTTTAAAAAAATTGCTAAATTTAAGTTTAATAAAATATAGGCTGGTGTGTATAATAATAATTTTAGTGTTTTTTAAAATTAGCACTTATATTAGTGATTTTTGTACAAATTTCATCAAAATGTGTTTCTACGTATTAATTCTGATTTTGCAGGCCGAGAAGTGCTTTTTTTTTATCCACCTGCCAGTCTTGAAAGGGCTAAATCACAAAAACTCTTTATTTCCACATTTTGTTTAATTTTTGATGACCCTTATTTAAAATTGAAGACAAAAAAATTTTTGTCGTTTTATTATTAAATTTAAAAAAGAAAAAAACTATTTTTGTGAAGAAATTTTGCTTGGGCTCTTGACCAAATGGCATATCTTCCCCTTGAGTAGGAACTTGGCAACAATAATTTGCCTTTCATTTAAAATCTGTTTAAGTTTAGCTTCATTATTTGAATCACAGTTAATAAGTTGCACATTAATTTAATTTTGAAAAGTAATCTGTGCAAAATTGCTACACTTAAATTGAATCCACTTTTTTTTTTATGGAGCTGTATGTCTGCAGGCTTAATGGTCTTAAATAGCCTTAATCATTCTTTTGGTCAGACTAAAGTTTATACTGTAAAAAATGGAAACAATGGAATATTACTATTCAGAGCACATTCTCTGGACTGTTTATATGCCTCGATTAGATTTAATTTTTTAAAAGTTAATAGAGTGAAGTTAAATGAAAAGTTACAGCATTGAGTACAGTACAATATGGCGTGTAATGATCATAGTTAAATGTAATATTTTGTGACCACAATAGCTAACTATTCTTTTACATTGATTGCTCTTTTAGGAGTTGATAAATTTTTTATTTTCCTAGTCGAATTTTAGTGAAAATGTGCAATGTTCACATTATTGGTAAAATATGATATTTTGTGGCTATACCCATAAACACGAAATCAAAAAACCAAAACAGTAATTTTATCATCACTTTACATGGATTATTAGACCGGGGACCACTGATCATTTATTATGTTGTAGTCCAATTCAAACTTTTGTGTTCCCGAATCATCAGACAGACTACCGTTGATTCTTTAAGATTTACAATACCTTAAAATTTACAATACCTTAATTCCTTTGCCTTAAAAAAGAGAATATAATTGTTGTTTTTTTATAAGAAAAAAATATAAATACGATTTGTATAATTTATCAGCTGTCCTTTTTCCGCATGATCACGTTTGTTTTAGAGCAAACATTGCATAATTTTCTTGGATATTACACAGAACTGTATCTGTATTCCTTTAGTGACCTTTTCTGGGACATTGTTCCAAGAAATAAACTTATAATAGTTTTACATTTTAAAATCTACTGATATTATTTTGAGTTTCTGAACATATTTAGTAAATTGAAAAGCTAATATTTCGTTCCAAGTTCATAAGGATTGTAAATAATGGTTTTTATATGAGTATTAGCTCTGCTTAGTATTGGGGATAATTTGAAAATATATTTATATATCTACTAGCTGACCCGGCAAACGTTGTTTTGCCACATGAATTATTTCTATAGTATGAAAATATATCTTATTTATTGTAAGTGTGTGCGTATGTGGTATATGAGTGGAAGAGGCATGGAGCGCTATGAACGATGACGGAATGTGAAAATAACAACACACCAAATAATATTTTTTTTAATTTATTGTAACTTTTTTTTATAAATTATATATACAACGAATTCTGAAAATATTAGTCAACAATATTAATCTCTTAGTGCAATGGAGTATACAATATTTTTTGTCATTCCATCTTTAGCTAACACAACTAAACTGGGTGGTTTGCCCTCTCGAGAGCATGCCACGTATAATTGTCTGTGTGAAGAACATGGTGTGCTCAAATCTAAGACACAAACAGACATTGCTTGACCTTGCCATTGCAAATGCTAATCTAATGGGGAACTGA